TGTCTGACGTTAAATGATTTTCAGTCCTGGGGTTCAGTTTCATCATCGTTCGAGTTTAAACAATAAAAACTCAAACTACAAAAAAAAACTAACTGCGTGTTCAGATGCTCCTTACATCCAGAAAACAGAACAGAGTCATATTTCTGTGGATTCAGGTCAGATTTGTGACTTTGTGAGTTAAAACTGTCGGCTGAAAAACTTTGCGTGGCTGCCGCACATTCTCACGGCAGGTGAAAAGTGTGCRTAACGTTAGTTTTGATACATCCCAACGTGGGCGTAGAACCTGGCGCACATAACTTTTTTGTGCGTACACATCGTTTATACATGAGGCCCCTGGTGTTTCCTGTGGCACATGCTCCTAAAACTCAGCTGGACTCCATTAGTGCTTAACTACTATAAGTTTACTGAATGGAAGCTGGAGAGCCACAGCATCAATCTTTATATTTCCTGTTTATAAATCTTTACACCATTTTTTTATTTCTTAATTATTCTGATAGAAATATTCAAAAAATATTTTGATGTGACCCCTGGACTCCTCAGAATAGCTACATCTCAGTGTTGTTATTTACAGATAACTATAGAACTCAATATAGTGCAAAATAAACATCCTGTTTGCATTAATTGCTTTAACATTTTAAAGTGCMTGTGACATGCCTATCCTTCAAATACAAAAAGTCAAAGAAAGCATCTTTATACTTAAGAAAATTGGCATAGTACACATGATTTTACCCATTTTGTCACATAACTGGCCTATTTTCTTTTGAACTTGGCTCAGCCAAAGTGAAACAGGAAGTGACATCAAAGGGGAATTCATTAATAAAATAAACTCTCTGGTCTTTGTTTATTAAAAYAAAATTATTTAAGCTTTAACTCGTCTTTGTCTCTCTTTGATGGCGACTRAAAATAATCTAAAGAAACRTCAGATTCTTCTCYACAATCTGTGTTGTTAGCTTTTGTAACAACGCTCTGTTTACATTCAAACATTCCCCTTTGACATCACTTCCTGTTTCTTCACATGTGAATATCTCAACAGCTGTTCATCTCAGCAGCGTGAAATTTGTCTTGCAATATTTATCAATGTTATCTATCCAAAAATGCATTCATGTTTATTACAAAAAGTTGATGTCACATGGACTTTAAAGCTTTAAGTTGTTTTAAGAAGACAGCATTTCACTGTAGTCTCAGTTTGGTTTGGACAAGCCATTAGCTCATCAGTCCTGTCAGAATTAAAGTCTAGACCAGGAATGGGACACTAACAGAGGGCCACACTTACCCAAATGTAAAAAAGAAAAACCCTTCCGTTTACGAATGTTTGTGCATGTATGTTTATTAAACCAACATGCAGTACAGTAACTAATTTATGCTCAAACTCAGCTATAGCAGTTGTACTCTAAATAATTCTCATAGTCACGAGCCATGAAAATAAAACATACAACATTATACAGAATTTTAAAGATTTTAACATTTTGTTCATACTCTTCCTCACCATAAAAGCAGCACTTGTGCCTTCAGTAAATGTCTCATATTTAGTTTTATACMACATGTTGTAGTGGTGACTTATGTKAAAATCCTTCRTGGCAGACTATTTGACTTGAAATTTTGTTTTCAGATAGTATTAGGGCTGCAACAACAAATCAATAAAATTGCTTAAAATTTATTATTAAAAGTGTTGGCAATAAACTTCATAATGGATTTGTTGTGTCGGTCATTTCTGATGGTATTAATTTAATGATTAAGCTTTAAGTTTTAATTTGCTGACAGTGTTTGAGTGATTTATTAATCAACCAGCCACAGGATTAAACACTTAACCTAACCTAATACTGCAAATATAACAAGACATTTATTGAATTACTATAATAAGCAGCTGTCTGAACTGAAAGTCAAAAGTCTTTTTAACATGATGTCACTGACAAGAGACTGTCCATGAGACTGTCAATGAGACTTTCCATGAGACTGTCCATGAGACTGTCCATGAGACTGTCCATGAGACTGTCAATGAGACTGTCCATGAGACTGTCAATGAGACTGTCCATGAGACTGTCCATGAGACTGTCCATAAGAATGTCCATAAGACTCTCCACAAGACTGTCCATGAGACTATCTATAAGACTGTCTGAGACTGTCCATGAGACTGTCTATAAGACTGTCCGAGACTGTCCATGAGACTGTCTAT